TTTCTTATATTGAATTTATTTTTAATTTTAATTTTAATAATTATTTAGGTAAATTTTTTTGACAATTATTAAAGATATTATTTTAGTTTTTTCTTTTTCATAGTTATTGTTAATGTTAGGTTCAAATACAATTTTTATAATAATATTAATGTTAAATTCAAATGTTTAATTTTTGAATGATTTTAATAATATTATTTCAATTTTTTTGTTAAATTTATTGTTAAATCTAATTCAAATAATATCTAGAATAATTTTTTTGGACTACTATTGAAAATATAATTTCAGGATTTATTTATTTATATATTTATTTATTATTAATATTTATTTAAATATATTTTTAATGATAATGTGAATGTTCAATTTGAATTTTCGATTTGAATGTTTGATTTGAATGTTAAATTTTTTGATATTCTTAAGAATATTATTCTGATTTTATATTAATTTTATTTTTAATTAAAGTTTAAATGTTAATTTGAATAAAATTATTTTGGGATTTTATTAAAAAAATATTTTATTTTTATTATTATTAATTATTATTAATGTTATCTTTAAATTCAATTTTAATGATAATTTTTAATAATTAATAATATCAATTTATTTTATTTATTTTATTTTAGTTTTTAATGCATAGTTAATTGATCTAAATAATTGATTTGTTTAATGTATGATTATTTTAATTTAAAATTTTATAATTATTTTTTTTTAATATCTAATTAACTTAATTATTATGTATTTAATTATTTTAATTATAACATGCCTAAATAACTGAATTTTTTAATATATAATTATTTTACTTATATAATATATAATTATTTGACTTTTTTAGATGCTTCTCATCCAAAGTATATGATTTTTATAGGTTGATATCAACAATATGGTAAAGGCAAGTAATGAATTACGATGTCAAAGTGATCCATTAAAATTCAACTCCAATACTATCAAATATGATCAATATAGTAGTGCAAGAGAGCCAAACTCTCCAATTGGGATTCAAATTGATAATTATAAAGGTCTTGAAATTTTACATTCACAAATTAGAAGAATTTTATAGGGTAGTGAAATTTGTTGAAGAAGCCTAGGTAGTGTGGTTAGAAAGGGACAAAAAAGAGGCTATTAAGGCAGAGAGAGAATCAACTCAAGTAGAGTTGTACATAGCTTAAGAATGAGAATATAGAGCAAGGTGTTGTTCTTCAGCAATATTGATGTGGAGAACATTGCATGCAATCAAAAAACTTTGCAACATATTAATAACCAACTCCCGCAACCACTATTATCAAAGAAATATATGAGCAGTAATATTAATATAAGATTTTTTTTAATAGAGTGATAAACAAATAAAAGTAATAATAGCAAAGTATGAAGTACATAGAAGCATTAAAAAGACAGCAATAAACTATGATATTTTATATACAACTTTTAAGGAGTGATTTTTTAGAATGTAATCTTCTAAAAAAAAAAAAAAATTCAAAGGGTTCTAACAATAGAAGAAGAAAGTAAGCTTGTCAAATATATTTTAGTCATATATGATAAGGACTTAGGTCTCTTATCTACAACTTTGAAAATGAAGGTTTTTGAATTAACTAAGATTCAAAGTGCCCCACTTAAAAATAAAATTATTGGTGATAGAAGATTAAGGTGATTTAAATAGTGTCACCTAAAACTTATGGTGAGAGTGGCACAAGCTCTTGTATCTTCTAGAGCAAAGGCACTATGCAAAGAAAATTTATAAAGTTTTTATTATAATTTAAGTAGATTATATACATCATATAAATAACTTCTAGAAAGGGTGTGGAATTGTAATGAGTTTGGTATGCAAGTAGGAAGAAATGGTAGTCTACTTCTCATAGCTTAAAGAAGTACTTGTCAAGTACATCTTACCATTTCAGATTAAAAAAAAAATGACTATTACTATTAGTTTGTACGAATGCAATGGAAGTTGGTATACCATCCTTCTATATTTTCAAAGATAAATGTTTTTGAAAAAAATAAATAGAACATTGTAAGTTAGGTGCAACCATGTCAATGCAACCTAAGGCTTGACTAATAAGTTTTTTTTTTTTTTTTTTTTTTTTTTTTTTGCATAGATTTCTCATTTTATTAAAAGCTTGAGACAACTTAGTGGCATTTTTCTTATATAGAAGCATCTATTGATTCTTGATAGATACATAAGCCATGTTACTATTAAAGCAATAAGACTAGTACATGACAAAAGATTGAATATTCGAATCATATCAATTAATATATTTCAAGAAATATAGCATACTTGCAAGGCACTTAAATGAGATGCTTTGATAAAAAAAAATACACTTATGAGGTGCTTAAGCATAAAATATTCACGCTTAGCCACACATAACAAAGACAGAATGCCAAGATTTGTAAGAGCAATCGAAGTTCCTATATTAAGCTTACTTAGCCTTCTAAGTTAAGACTTATAGATTGAGATTAGGAAGAGGGTTTAGGAGACTATTGGAGCAATTCAACTCTTTTAGTCTTTATAGAATATAAGGGCATATCCAAATGATGTCAATAATATTAGTAAATTTTTAATCAATATTATTAGTTATAAAAGATATTATTTTTTAAATAGATATTGAGATAGGTCTTATGAATGTCCCAAGTCCATATTAGGCATCATAAGAGGATCTTGCATCAAAATAGATATGAATTCAAGTTGATATAGCATGTTGTACACCAACCAAGGTTGACACTTCAAAATAGTCACATATTCAAGTTAGCACAATAAAGCAATTGCCAACCTAAGTTAGTTCCATAAAATAGTCATTATCTCAGGTCAATATGGACACATTGTCATATTTTAAATATTTATATTATGTAAAAATTAATTAAAACATATTTTATATTCATAAGTCTTGATGTGTATTAGAATGGTTAATAAATTAATTTAAAGAAAGTGGATATAAGAAACTTAATTTTGAATTTTATCTATTATTATTATTATAGTATTTAAATTATATGAGATTTAAATGTTTAATATAGAGCTTTAAGAGAAGGTGGAAGCTTAAGGATGAAAATCTAAACTATTAAGAGGCTTATGGAGAAGAATGAAATCAAGGCATGGTTGGATGAAGGCAAAAGGCAAAGATCTTTATTCTTATTGGTCAAAGGCCTTACTCAATGGACATTCAGCAAACAGTCCGCGACCATAATAAGGATTTTGGTGACTTCAAAAGGAGCATTTGAGAATCAAAAGCAAGGATTATAAGGTTTAGGATTTGGACTACAATTTATGTACAAACTTTAGAGGATTTGGAGTTAAGGTGATGAAGTTAAAGCCGTTTGAAGTTAAAGTGTTGTTTAAGACATATTGTTGCTATTTTGAGAATACAAGGAGTTTTATGATAGAGTTTTGAAGATAGGGAGATACGGCCACAAGGTTGATTTCAAGACCTACATCTTTTGTGAAGAAATTTTGGCATTTGGAGTTTGTATGAAGAAGTTATAGAGCATTGAAGACAACACATGTAATTCAAAGGCAATAAGTAAGTTGTTTTGTTGATAGTAATGGTTGGAGCCATTTCATAAGTTTTTGGATGAATTTTTGACTAAAAATTTCCAAAAATATGTGTTATTGAGTTCAAAAGCTATATATCAAAATTTTATGGTATTTGAACACTTAGTTTGTGAGATATAAAGAAATTTTCACACATGTATATGTAAGCAAGGGTTTGAAGCTACTGTTAGAGTTTTGGCAATATCTCAAGATCCATAACAAATTTACAATTGAAATTTTTCATGGTAGTTGTCAAAAATACATTAGTACGTAATGTAAAATTTGAATTTGTTTGGATGGTTTGATCATGAGATATGAATTGTTGAAGTTTGGGATAAATTTACCTTGAGGATCTACAAGTTTTTTATGATATTTTAATCACATTTTTTGTGATCTTTGGTACTTAAGGCTTATGTATTGATATAATTGCTCCTATATGTTCAATTTAATATATAGACTTGGTGTTTCTTTTATCTTAAGGCTTGATTGAGCATTTAGTGACAGCCAATAGTCCAATGCTTTCTTAAAGCAAACTCTCTCTATATCGACAATGTAGTAGCCGACTCTAGTTGATGTTAAGTAGCAATTACGAACTATGGTCATCTTAGTAGAAGGGCTGCTGACTTTGGTTGGCATGAAAGAGCAGTTGTTGTCCTCAATCTTTACAACAAGGCTGTCACTAGTTTCAATCAATGCAAATTGATAATCATTGACTACGGTTGGCGCTTTAAGCAAATCTATTCTATCTTGCACCATAACGATGTTGTAGGAAAGGTAACAAAAAATTAGCAAAAAATTGAGAAGAATTTAGTAAAATTATGGATTAAAATTAAAAGATGGAGAATGTGATATATTATTTTGAATGAGCAAAAGCAAGGAAGAAAGGCAGAAGAATCCAATTTGAACATGATGGATTAGTTATAATCAAACATTTTAATTTTCATGGCCGCTTCAATACAATTAAATTTATATGTTGGATAGAATTTCATCCAATTTTGAAGCATTTACATGTGCCATTCTTCTCAATTTTGAAAGAATTGGATTCTTGAATTTGTAATCCACCATCAATTGGAATTAAGTAGGCTTATATATCTATAATGGGTGGTAGAAAATGTTCAACTAATTCATTTTTATAAATTATATTTTTGGACCAATTTGTATCAAATTAGTTCTATTCCTCCTCATTTGGATTTTGCTACAAGGGGGAAATTTTTTCCACTTTTCCACCTACTGGGTATCTTCTAAAATGCTTCAGTTGTCAGAAATGGATGATCTACCTTATATATTTGGTAGATAAATAATATATATATATATATATATATATAGAAACAATTTGACTAGGTTACGGGTATATTAAAATATTTCAGTGTAGCAATTCGGCGTTTCTCTTCATCCAGTAAGAGGCATCAGCTGGGTCCCTATTCCGATAAGTCCATAATTCCATGTCCTCCACTTGATAAAATACACAATACGGTGGTACACAAGGACGAAATAAGTAGCTACCATATGATGAGAGGTAGCTGGACCAAATAAGTTGACAATTAAATTCCCTCTTACCTGAAAACATGTCATCGCACTCTTAAAGAGCAGTTGAATTACCAGTTGTTACTATTTCGGCACTGAGGAAAGTGCGATCTCAACACCCGCAACACCTCACTTCCTGATAACTAAATAAACTCCCAAGACCCTAATTTTCTGTAAGCAATTGACAAGAAAGTAGCGTTGACACAACAATCCAAATGCTTTGAGTCCATCAAAAGTGTCAAGCAGTGAAAATAACAGTCGTCAGCGGGTCAGCTCAAAATATTACATTTCCTGCAGAGCTTTCTTGCACCCAGTTGTGCGTTGAGTATAGTGCAGTTTTCTGCAAAACTGCACAATGATTTTTCTGTTTGCATGTCCATATTTCTGCTTCAGGAGAGACTAGTGAAACCCTAATTCGGGACTTCGAAGCAGATGTTTTCGAACTTGGCCATGTCGTCCTCGAACAATGCGAGGATGGCATCAACACTGCCATCTTGAGTGTGAGAAGCGTTGAGGATGATGAGCCCTTCAAAAGGGACGTAGGGAGGGCCGGCATACACAGGCGTGCCCCATCCGAAGTCCAATTTGTAGAGCGGCATCTGTAACCAAGAAGTAAGGCTCAGGTCAGGGCTCAATACCGTGCTCAAGGTTCTGCCATAGGAAGCAGTATTCTGGCGCCGGTGCTCGATGTAGTCGATTGCTGATCGGATGTAATCGTTATCAAGTCTTTTGATGGAAGCGTGTACAACACCTGCAGCGTACGAGAGGGGTTCCTCCGTCACTTGTGACACAAGGGTCCGAGCGCAACTGTGGAAGATAACATTGCCATAGTAATCTTCTGAGATTGAGGGGGTCAGTCGGCGCCTCGCGTCGCAGGCGACGGTAGTCCGTGTCTCGATGTCACTGCTCAATCCACGCGCCTTCGTTATACACCGCCACAAGTGCCCTGTCAGGCTCTCGAAGGTGGAGTAGGTGGGGAAGCCGCGCTCGTCGTTCTCTTTAACGGCTTTCGACTTGATTTTTTGAACCATGTCGAAACTAAAGCGTATTTTCTTTCTTGCGAGAGGACGGTTGTTAAATGTGTCCTTAGCAACAGGCTTAGGCAGGGGCATAACATACTCGATATGGTCGAATGTTGGCATTGGCTGGTCCCTGGGCATCAGAGCTGCACGATCGTGGAGTATGGGCGAGGGCGGGATCCCTTTGCACGCAGACGCCCACGCGTTCATAAATTGGCTCGCCGACGTTCCGTCCGCAACTTGGTGATGCCTTGCTACACCCAACGTCAATCCACCGCACTTGTACTTGGTGACCTAGTCACGATAAACTTCAGGTGTTAGCGCAACCACAAGTTCATCTAACTCTTTCAGAGTTTCAACCCTCGCTAATACGAACTGAACTGCGATTGCGCGGACTAGTCAGTTGGGTATCAGGTAGCGGTTTTTTCGATTCTCCAAATGCAGACACTGAAACTATATTGTCTTCTCCTTATTGGATTGCTACAAACAACCACCGCCCATGGCCCGACTTTGTGGCAGGACAACGCACATCAATTTCAGAGTTGAACAACAATACTCACCTGAACAAGCAGAAGCTCTGGTACACCACGACTAGGAGGTACCATACTTAGAAGCAAAGGCGAGGGATCAAACGGGAAAACATCTTGCAAGCACCCGTCCGCCACCGCTTCCACAAACACTACTCCGTCGTCATTCAGCTCAATGGCAGGTCTGCCTGTCTCGTTAATCACGAGGCGTCCAGCCCACTCTCTGTACTCGGTTAGCACCCGCCCTAGCGCCTCTTCCAACACCTGGACGACGTTGTCAAAGCTGACCCCCTTGCTGGCCTCATATGCATAAATCACTTCGACGTGCACCTTGGGCACCACCACATCCGAACTGCTCAACGGCACCACCTTCGGTACCGCATTGCTCCTATCAGCTGGCTTCACCACCCGCCGAAACCGCCTCTCAATTCTCATTACACCCCAAATCCCCGCCGCTCAGCAGAAAACCTGCAACGTACCTATTCGAAGATCTGTTCAAAACCGACGATGCGCAAACAAACTACAACATTTCAAAAATGCCGACCTCCGATAAACATTAAGAGTGGAAGAGTACACTCATAGCACGGTTTCGACTGCACCGAAAACTAAGCTGACAGTTTTGGTAGGCGCAAATCAGCAGTGACACCATACATGAGATGCATGTGCAACAGTCCGGCATATGCTAACACGGTCCTGATCTCCGAACCACGAAACGTAGTATCGCAATCTTATACAGTGAAGTCGTTCTCTTGATTACGTCGTGGCTTTCAATGAGCCACTGTTCCTTCTTTTGCGTGGCACACCTACTTTGCAGGTCCATCATTTGGACACTGGGTCCGGCTAAATGCACATTCACACCTGCAGTTACGCCGGTTGACAGCATTAGTTTATGACTTCCGGAATGGTACCACCTTGCATAGGGAGGCATCAGTGGATCCAACCTGGGATCTCACGCGGAAAAATCAGCACTGTAGCTCGCCACTGCTTTGTTGAGTTCTGTGGAAGTGCTGCAATAAAGACCCCCTTTGTGCATAGATATATAAGAAAGGTGAGTGATTGTTCGTGAATATGAATGATAGGAAATAAACAAACTTCCATGTGTGTGAGATACTTAGATGTGGGTTGAAGTAAAAAAAATTGAAAGTTACGCATGAAGTTAATTTGAATACAATAGTATTGGTTTTAAGGTGAGAAAGTGAATTGGGTAAAGAATGAAGAGTTAAAGGCCATTATCAAATACAAGCCATTAAAACAGTAACGAAGTGTAAGGATATCGTCAGCACAAGAGATTCGAATAAATTTGGGAAGTTTTAAGATAAAACAATTCTGAGTCATTTCGTATTCGAAACACAAAGTGAAATTTGTCTACGTCACGGATTCAGAAGCGGAATTATTACCATGGAATGATTACACAAAAAAAATAGCTACGGCAGAATTGGATGAAAAGTGGCTGCGTAATTGAATACCACTGAAAATGTACAAGCTAGTGTGGTACGATACACAGGACAGACTATCTTCATAAGTGATGAAGATTCGTCCCTTAACGTTCTTCGCTACCTGCCCAGCAAGGGCATGACTAATAGAAGAGTAGGCTACGATATATTCTCTAACTGCCACATGACATACATTCGTCCTTGTTCTCAAGCGAGCACACCATTTGAGACATCTTTTCCTCCAGATTGTTAGAGACAACTGCGGCAGGCGTTTCTTGCTTACTCTGCATAGGAGTTAACTGTTAAGATTTAGGTACAGTCAGAACAACTAGAAAATGCTAATTCAGGGCGACACTTCACGTGCAATGATGGTGCACAAGAAAAGATAAATCTCACCTTAATACTACTTTGATCCACTGTAAATTTGATTGCGTCTGCGGCAGCTCTCGACCGCAAATAATACATGCCTGTTTTCAAACCCTTCGTCCAGGTGTAGAAGTGAAGAGAAGTAAGCTTTCCAAAGTTAGGCTGGTCCATGTGGATGTTCAGACTTTGACTCTGGTCGATGAACGCTCCTCTCGCGGCGGCCATATCCACAATTGACCGCTGTTTGATTTCCCAGACGGTCCTGTATATCTTCTTTAAGTCATCTGGAATGACGTCGATTTGCTGAATTGAGCCATTGTGATAGATGACTTGGTTTTTCAAGTCGTGCGTCCAAAGGCCCATGTTTGTTAAGTCGTTGAGAAGGTGCTTGTTGACCACCACGAATTCGCCGCTGGCAAACCAGAGGGGGTTAGTTCCTAGATAAATAAGAAAGCTTTTCAGCGAAAATTCAAATGTTGGGCGTGACTTAAGTACCTCAGTACTCGTCTGCTGTAAATGTTCGATGTATACGGCTCGAAGCACTCATTGTTGCCTAAGATTTGACTGGTCGATGCAGTGGGCATTGGTGCCAAGAGTAGAGAATTGCGTACACCGTTATTTAGTATCATTTGTCTCAAGGAATCCCAGTCCCATCGGGTTGAGGGCTTCACGTTCCACATGTCTGGCTGCAGTGCCCCCTTACTAATCGGAGATCCTGCGTATGTCTCGTAAACACCCTCCTCGGCAGCCAGCTCACATGAAGTCTTCAAAGCATGGTAGTAGATAGTTTCAAAAATATCCCTATTCAACTGCTGGGCCTCTTCAGAATCGAATGGCATGCCCAGCAAAATGAAAGCGTCAGCGAGGCCCTGAACTCCGAGCCCAATAGGTCTGTGGCGCATGTTAGATCGCCTTGCTGTTTCTACCGGGTAGTAGTTCACATCGATAATTCTATTGAGGTTGCGAGTTACCAGTGAAGTGATCTGCATTGGAAATAAAGAAAAATGTCAGGCGCAACTCCCTGCAACAATGGAGAACCTAAATAGAACCTCCGAACTCAATGGAATGTACATTTGGAAGTTATGTCACCTCGCCGAGCTTATTGAAATCGAAGAATCGATTCTCGTGGCCATTGCTTCCGATAATCTTTGTAGGATGAGACTCCAGAGAAACTCCTTTCTCTCGAACGAAGCGAGGAAGTGCAAGTGAAGCCAAGTTGCAGACGGCAGTCTCGTCAGGACTTGTAAACTCCACTATTTCGGTACAAAGATTGGAAGACTTGATGGTTCCCAGATTTTGCTGGTTGCTCTTTCTGTTGCAGGCATCCTTCAAACAGTAGGACCAGCAGCGAATGAGCTCTCTACATTCGCAGAGCCTCTATCATGATAACAAAACAGTACAGGTAAGTTAGGCACGTAGACATGTATTTACCTTGAAGAGTATGTACGGGTTTCCCGTTTCTATCTGCGCCTCCAATACTGCAAACCAAAGCTTTTGGGCCTGTACCACTTTCTTTGCCCTCCCCTGCACGCCAGGTGTGATACTGTTAGGGGCAGTATGACCCAAGGCTGATAAGGTTAGTCTCCAATACAGTGCGTCCATGGGAGCCCCGTATTAGCAGAAACCTCTAGAAAGTCGTGAATACAGCGCGGGAGTAGCACGATATATCACAATCTCAACTGTTTAATTCAATCTTCTGGAGTAGAAACCCATTCGTCGAACAGAAACTCAGATCATACTCGTCATCAGGCACTACTTCCAACGTGATTATGCAAGTCCATTCCTATGCTGCACGTCCTATGGACTATAAAACAAAGATCTTATTTACGACGAACTAAAACAGTGACAAAGATGAATAGCTCACCTCTAACTCGTATCGAGCGTAGAGAGTCTCGAATTGTTCACCCCAACAATCCGCGAGTCCTGGCGCTTCATTGGGGCAGAACAGAGACCATGTGCCATTATTTTGGACACGTTGCATGAAAAGGTCGGGGATCCAAAGTCCATAGAACAAATCCCGAGCTCTACTTTCCTCCTTCCCGTGGTTCTTTCGAAGGTCCAACCATTCGAAGATATCTGCATGCCAGGGTTCAAGGTAAATTGCAAACGCACCCTTCCTCTTACCGCCACCCTGGTCAACATACCGGGCAGTGTCATTAAACACCCTCAGCATGGGGATTATACCATTGGAAGTTCCATTGGTGCCCCGGATGTAGCTGCCTGTCGTGCGGATGTTATGGACAGACAGGCCAATGCCACCGGCCGACTTGCTAATTACAGCACACTCCTTCAGGGTATCGTAAATCCCCTCAATACTGTCATTTTTCATGCACAGTAGGAAACAGCTGCTTAGCTGCAACATTCGAACAACCAATTAGTACTCGCATTCACGACTGACCAGGCTTGGTTCAGTGCAAAGAGCGCACGCACAAAAGGAATAGATAGCCGAACCTGCGGCCGGGGAGTCCCTGCGTTGAATAGGGTTGGAGACGCGTGGGTGAACCATCTTTGGGACATCATGTGATATGTCTTTAGGACCGCCTCGATGTTCTCCTTGTGGATACCAACGGATACCCTCATAAGCATGTGTTGAGGCCTTTCCACGACTTTACCGTTAACTTTCAGAAGATAAGATCTCTCTAATGTCTTGAAGCCAAAGTAATCGTAGTCAAAGTCCCTGTCATATATAATCTCGCTGTCCAGGCGCGGGGCATTCTACAAAGACAAGCATAGCGCTGTAAGACAGAGGGCACGCGCAAGAAATGAAGATGAAACGTGGATTGTATCCCAGGAAGGAGAGTTCGTTCTGATATTCAAATCATCAGTCGTACCTTAATGATGATATCGTAAACATCATCAGCAATAAGCGGAGACTTTAATCCGGACCTCTCGTTTACGTGGTAATACATATCCTTCACCGTCTCAGAGAATGATTTCTTCGTATTCTTATGTAGATTCGAGACTGCAATTCTCGCCGCTAGCTGCCATAAGAATTCGTGGAATTCGTTAAGCAACCAAAAAGAGGCTTGAGGCGAATTGTATTGGGCATAATTGCACAAAGAAGTAAAATTTCCGAGCCAACAGACAGACACCAGCCCATCCAGACGTTACGAACTTACAATGGCATAGTCAGGATGGTTCGCAGTCATGGCCGCAGCAGTCTCAGCGGCTAATTCATCAAGCTGACTAGTAGTGACCCCCTTGTAAACTCCCATACAAACTTTCTGCGCAACGAGAACTGGCTCGCAATGCTCGGGATTTAGGCCATAGCTGAGCTTCTTCAGGCGCGCAGTGATCTTGTCGAAATGAACAGCCTCCTGCCTTCCATCTCTCTTAATAACATACATTCTACGGAATGTTCCTCTCTGAAAGCGATTCCACAATTCACCCTGGTCTCCGCCGCCACACACAACCCAAAGCCCCCTTTCCGCACCTGCTGCTCGAATAACCGCACAGGCTGTGCCTTTAACGAAGCGTCCTCAAATCTACTCGGAATTGCCAACGACCCAACTCAACCACAACTGCGGACAACTCCTCAAACTCAGATAGTGATATTGTATGAAAATAAAGAAGGCCTTGTCCTCGAGTTAGGCGAGGGTAAACTCAATGTTTCTGCTCAGTGAATCTATCACTATACAAGTACACAAGAAATTCTGGGTGTAGAGGAGAGTTCAAGCCGGAATGACAGAAGAACGAGGTAACCAACATACCGTTGTCAGAAGCGAAGGCGACAATTTAAAGCAGAGCACCGAGAGCTGTTGGGGGAAGAATCGAGGGTGATTGGAGCGGTAAGGAGCTGGCGGGGTTTAGCAAGCGCGGCCGTGCAAACCCCGTGGATATAACGCGGGACAGGTGCCAGCTATGACTGGAGCTTTGCTTTCCCGCGCTGTAACCAACCCAACGGAGGGAATAAAATGGAGGGAAAACGATTTTATCACGAAGTAGTTTTAGCACCATCGTTTCACGAAACCTGTAACACTCCATTTCCACTCTTCCGTCGCGCTATCTTGGCGATGGTGGATGTAGAGCCGCAACGGCGCTCATCGTCTATGTTGACATTGGCTACGTTCAGCTTTTCATTGAGCTCCTTTTAGGGTCTGAAGCGCCCGCAGCGGACCTAATATTGTTCCGCCCGCGGCAACGGACACTTGGCGCCACCACTGTGACTGGAATGGGACCTCCGGTGTGAACAGAAGCTTTTGGTTTATCCTCAACGGACTGGTGCTGTCGTGAATTTCATCCACGGTGGCTCTATAAGCAGACTCGCAAATTTATCATCCGTTTCTTGGGCATGAGCTTTCATCCATTGCCTCAACTACATCTTCAAAGTTGTCAGCGTTTTGGGTTTGTGTGCTTAACAATTTTCCTGGTTTAGTTGGATTTGTCATTGCTTTTTACAACATTCAATCGCATATTCTTAATATTTTTCGTATTTTTTATTTTATCCAATAATATATATTTATTTATTTATTTATTTATTTATTTATTGCTAAGTATCTATTTGCAAATGTTTGTATAAATTGTTTTACAATTTTACAATGTGAGATACTCAAAAAAGAATAACAAGACTTCTTCTTTGATTAAAAGGAAACGAATTTAAACCTTTGTAAGTCTGAAATATTGCTTAATATGTTTTATTCACAAAACTCATGCAAAGCTGTTACACTCTATTTATTGGAACAGTAATATAAACAAACGGAAGAAAAAACTAGACAATATAGGGTAAAATACAGTTTTGTCACAGAAATTGTCACAAGGTCCCTCAGTATTAGAGTTGATTTTACTAAATAAATAAATAATTAAATGGCATCATACTAGTCTACACACTGTATTTATAACAACATAGAAAAGAAACAATCATATTGAATTTTTCCCATGACAGAATTATTTTTTATTTTTAAACTATTGTTAGGAAAATATAACTAAGCAAGCTAAACCAATTATAGAATAAGTTTAATAGAAAGATGTTATAGGTCATAAACTTAAGTAGAAAGAAAAAAAATCAACAAAAATCATTATGTGACGAGTTTTCTATTCAATTTCTCTTCATATATATACATATATATACATATATATATATATATATATATATATATACATAAATATATAATTAATAGGGTGCTACTACTATCAATTCAATTTTTGCTACTACCACCACAACTCACCACCCACTCAATATATTTCTTTGGTTTTTTTTCTAATAAAGAATAATTAGTGATAATGTCAACTTAAAATCACTTTAATATATACACCAATAAAATAAGTTAGTCACTACAAATAGACTAACTGAACTATTTGTGATATATTCAAAGTCCATCCAATTGCAAGATTTGATTCTTAAAGATGAATTTTGAAAGTTAAATTTTAAAAATATATATAATTTTTTAAGGTTAAATGAATTAAATTTAAAAAGACATAGTTATTATATATATAAATATATAAATGTATAATAAAAATAATCATAATCAAAATAAATTTATCTATAATTTATGTTGAATGCTTTATTTTTATTTTTATTTTGAATCAATTAAGGAGTGTTGATTAAATATATAAAATTAAAATATTAATATCAGACGACTATGAAATTAAAATTCTACTAATTTTATTAATATATAGAATATGTTAAGGAAATTGATTGACTTATGTGGATTTATAACCAATTCTTATAATCCTAAGAAAGTTCAAACTTAGATTTAAAAAATATAATTATATTAGAACTGAATATTAAGTGGATACTTAACAACAAAATTTGAAGATGCCAATGGCTATTAACACCTCTGTCTCTTTCCAAATATATTATTTACTTTACATTATATTTTTTATATTATATTTTTATTTTAAATTATTTATTACTGAATATAAACTATACTAATCATTGATAAAACATATCTATTTAATTATTCTTTAATAACCTTCATGATATAATAGAAAATCTTCTTAAATAATATTTTTTTATTTTAATAAAAAATATTCCAACAATATATCAATAATTTATTTAAAAGGTATTTAGGTCTATATTTAGAACTTTATTTGAACTTTATATAGTGACATTTTGGTCTATAATAACATAAATATTAATCTAAAAAAAGCTTTTTATTATAATTTAAAATATATTAAGAAAATGATAATAGATTTAATCTTTAAAATAATTATTTATGGATTATTTAAGTATTTACTTTAATTTTATTTTATTAATAAAAAACAAGTAAACCAAAAAAGATCAAGAAAATGAAGCAACTTCCTTGATTTTTATAATCTATATAATGATCAAGTCTTAAGAATACAATTTGCACAATCAATACTTTATCTGAGAGTATATTAATATTTTAGTGTTTATTATATAAATTTTTATAACATTGTAATTAAAGATTTATTGTTTTAAAATCCAATTGGTAAATTATGTTAATTAGTTTTTTCATGTATCTTATTGTTTGATAGAGGTTTTACTAATCAATAGTCCATTGTAGAATAATAAGTACAATATAACAATGCACCTAAGCCATAAATACTTCTTTTGGTATAATATCTCTTTGCTATATTATTGATTTTACAAGTACCTCAGAGACTAATAATCCAATGTTTCTTTCTATTATATATTTGAATATGAAACATTACATTGTCATGCCTAGTAAAATCTTTTAAAAATGTGACAAATGAGCTTGCTATGTTTACTTACAATTGAATGTCTAATTTTTTAAGAAGTGAGAGAGAAAAAGAGAGAGAAAAAGAGAGAGAAAGATATATATATATATATATATATATATATATACTTATTCTTTTACTAGTTCTTATAATGTCTAAAAAGTTTCTCAATTACTTTATATTATATTATATGAAGTCTTGCTTGAGAATGCAATGAGCACTTTGTTATGGAAGGTAAAAAGAAAATTGCAACGATAAGGTTCTAACAACTCAAATAGAATCCTAAATAAATTCTAATTAAATCTTAAAAACTATAATCAATTCTAAAAGAAGATTTAAAGAAATCATAAAAAAAACATAATTTAATTACTTTTTAATTCCACAAATGTGTAAATTCAATATACTCCTCTTCAAGAATCAATTCATGATATTTTCATATAATTTTTGCTGTAAATTATTTATAATTTCTTTTTAAAGATTTCTATATTATTTATTTTTTTAATCTATTTTAATTTATTTTATTTATGGACTTAAAAAATAAATATTTGCCTTTTTTATAAAATAATAGTATTAACACTAAAAGTTTTTACTACCTCCCTATCTTTTATTCATATTTTTCTACTTACTCTTCTATAATACAATCCATATTTTTATCTTTTACCACATAATTGCATTATAATACAATATTGCTTCTAACTTCATGGCCATCCTATGACTAGTTGCATTTCTATCATATCTTCTTATATTATCATCATTCTTCTATGTAGGGATATTCATTGAAGATTGCTCATATCATCTATGATGCTGATACTTATTCATTAAATTTGTTTACAATATGATTTATTAATAAGGGATATGATGCATAAATTATATATATATATATATATATATATATATTGTAAGATTTGACATCATCTATAATACACATAATGATACTATTGTCATAAACATACATATTTACTTATACAAATACCTAGATAACATGAATAGATAGAAGTAGTTTAAAGTAGATAAATTTAATAATATATTACAAAAAAACTTCTTAAAAGTCTTATAAAGGTAGGTTTATCTTTACATGTGTCTATAAATGATTATTAGGTTGAAAACTTTGCGAACAACTTGGCTACATGTCACACATATTAGCCACTTGTGGTATAAGTTGGATATGTAATATACATATAGAAAACTTGACTTGCAAGTTAAACATGTGTTCTTTGAGTTGGACAAGTATTGAAGGTCTTATAGAATGTTAACATATAATTTTTAATTAGATAGTATATATAGAAGAAAAAAATAAGACCTCCTTCATACTTATTAGTTCTTTTCTTGCTTATAGTTTAGTTTCAAGAATATCTAGTTTTTTTAGTCTTTGGATTTTGAAATTTTAGTTTTTTTTTAAATATACATAATTTCTTATTTTTATTTTTTCATCTCTCTTTGCTATACATTTCACTTGTTTACATATCTTTTTGAGTTCTTATCTTTGATAGATTGACAAGAGTATATTTACTATATTAGAGCTTTATCTTTTCTTGATTAAAAATGAAATTATTATTTATTTTAACAAGACATAAGCATATTAGAATTTTAGAATTATTCACTTTTTAATTGATATTATTCTTAGAATTTTCTTGTTCTTGAATCCTATCTTCTATTTGTCTTGAATAATATAAGATATTTTCTTTTCAATTATCTTATTATAGCAAAGCTTATTGAAATAAAGAATACAATGGCACACATGCAAAAACACTTTACAACAAAGTCAATTGCTTGATTCAATATCTAAGGATTAAGTAAGTTTGGCCTTTTGAATTTTGATAAAAGAATTGTAGAAATATGCCTTAATATTTTTAGAATTCAATGGCAATATCAATATCTTTTCAATAAATTTATTTAAAAATAGAAAATATATAAAGTGACACAATATATTTTAAATCTCTTACTAATTTTAAAAAACTAATTTTTGCTAAGAAGGATTGTGCTTATATTAGAGAGAATTTAATGACACAGCTTAATATTATCTAAAAAAATAAAGTAACTACAATATAAAGGATATGGCTGT